CTCAGTCTCTTTCTCTCTCTGTCTCTATGACACACACACACATCTCCTCTCTCTGGCTCCTCCCACTTTCACTCACTCTGTGTTCTCAATGTAGTCTAGACTGGTGTTGGGTTTTGCCTTGTATTACATTGTATAATAAACTTTTAAAAGATAGACACATTAAAAGGATTTGATTATATAGTTGTTAATGCTTTCCTAGCGCTCAAGAACAATGCCACAGTGACCGAATGTATTGTTCATTTTACTAATACCCAGAAGAGAGCATTGCTCTTGTTAAAGATAAATACAGGTTTGTAGAATATCACTTTGGTGTGTTTTCAATAAATCATGCCTGAAAAGAGCATATTCTGTCTGTTTCTTTTCATTTCCCCCCCTAACTTCCCTAGTAATATATTTAAAATACAGTAGTCAACATTTGAAGTGGATCAAAAAAAGTTCATCAAAGTTGTTCTAAGACAAGAACACATTTTAGTTTTAGGACAACTTTGATGAAAGGTTTTGATCCACTTCAAATGTTGACTAGTGTACATTAGAATGCATTTATTTCATTTATTTTAGTTGGACTTCAGCACTACTACAAAATTAAAGTGTATTAAGCACAAAATTAGTTCCAATTTAGCAGACTTAAGGTATACTCATTTAGTATACTAAAAGTATTTTTATTAAGCACATAAATGTGTAAATGTATTTGTAGTATACTGTACTTAGCATGAAATAAGCTTATTTCAAATACATTTTAGTATATTTATTTTTCACTAGGGTTGAAGGGATCATGCACCAAAAAAATAAAATGGTGTGAATTTGTTTTGGACCCCATTGACTTTCAGTGTATGGATAAAAAACAGTTTTTAAAAAAAAAAATTTTAAATGTTCTTTCGCGTTACACAGAAGAAAGAAAACCATACCGATGACCTAAGGGTGAGTAAATGTTGACAAAATTTCCATTTATGGGTGAACCATCCCTTTAATACACAAGGCACTTTCAATCTTTATTTCAGACAAATTATATATTTACTATAAACCTCTTGTCAAAATGATTTTTCAGGTTTTTGTTGCATAGTGCGCTAGGAATCTGCTGGGAATGGTAGTCATAATAATTTAGTTCCTCCAAAAATCTCTAAATTTTTTACATTTGTACATGATTTCAACTTTGATACGCCCTCTGGCTGTTAGCAGAAATATTCATTTCAAGAATTTTATTTGGCGAAAACAGTAAAATATTTTTTTCCTTTGTGCATTAAATCACATCATCCAGTGTGTGTGCAGCTCCTGCGATGGCCTGTGTGACGATGGATATGTGTTTGTGAGCCTGATCCCAGTCTTCCTTCAGGCCGGTGCTCTCAGCCTTCTCTACTGCATCTGCTAGGCCGGGGAAGGTGGGCACGCTTGATGACCTCGACGCCCATATCACATGCCTGTGTGGTGCCAGACAGCGTTACAAGTGATTGCAAACAGGTGTGACATCGCATGAACAAATGGGGATGCTGATTAATATTCATAAGGGACCGGTCATTAGTAGCAGGACGTTTCAATAATGCTGCTTCATACCTGAATCCATATTGTTCTGGGAATGCTAACGGGTCAAGGAAAGCCCTGTCCAGCAGCATGAGCTGGTCATTAATTTGGCGAGCCTTCAGGGGCCTGTTGTGAAGACAGAAGTTTTGTTCCTTCCATTATGACACCACAGCAGGTGGTTTTTACATCACTTTAACCCTCTAAAACCTACTGTAGAATATTTGATTCACAGATATCTCAGGCATCTAAATTGCCAACATGAGCAAACTTTCCTAAAAGACCTTTTGTACACACTATTCTACATGCCTTTTTATAGCTTCTACTTTTTAGCAAGTAAAGGGCCTTTTAGTATTTTTTTGAAAAATCATGTTAAAAGGTGAATATGAAATAAGGAAATCAGGATTTTGAAGAATGTTTGAAT